GGAGCCCTCAGCACCCAATGTCAACCTGCAACTCAGACAAGCCCCTCCACCAATGTGGGCACCTCCTGGTAAGAACTACGCTCCTCACTACCTACAGGAAGCCTCCCATCCCCTAGACTGCTGGTTGCCTTGCTTCCATGCCCATCCAATGGCTTCAACACCGGAGTCTCTCATCCGGAACAAGGAGTCCTGACTACTTCTGTCACCACGGGGTCAGCTATGGCAACCGGCTTCCCTCAGCATTGGAGGAAGTTAAGGCTATGGCAGTCTGAATGGTCTGACTTTCTAACCACGCCCCCCCCTCACTGCCAGTCCCACCCCTGCGGTTCCAATGGTGAATGAAGTCATTCAGCTACCTGTTTCTTTCAGTATTGGAATACTTTACTGCCATGGCAGACAGAATGACCAATTCTCTAAGCACAACCCCCCACCACCCCGAAAGGTTCATCGCCTACAGAGAGTTGTGAATTAGGAACTGAGAGGTTGTCATTTTTTACCTATCAGTATTGAAATACTTTATGTCTATGGCAGCCAGGAGGACCTGAACTTCTAACCACGCCCCCACCACTACTTAGCCCCGCCCCTGCAGTTTCTCATTTTCCGACAGACCTGAATGAGGTCAACAATGGCGACCTATTGGTTCGCTCACTATTGGAGTACTATAAGGCTATAGAAGCCTGAATGCCTTGACTTCCGAACCACGCCTCCACAACTCCAGCTCCGCCCCTGCAGTCCCTCAACTTCTGATCATCCTTATTGGAGGTCAACAATGGCAACCTGTTGGTTTCTTTCAATTTAGGAATACTGGGCAGCCGTAATGGCCGGATATTTAACCACGTGCTCATCAAGCTGCCCCATCCCTGTGGATTTCTCACCTTCAGATAGTCCCAAATGATGTCAACAATGGCAACCAGTTTCTCTCATTACTAAACTACATTAAGGCTATTGAAGCCTGAGTGCCCTGACTTCCTAACCACCACCCCAGACCCACCCCCATGGTTCCTCACCTTCAGATAGTCCTAAATGAGGTCAACAATGACAGCCTGTCAGTTCACTCAGTATGGGAGAACTTCAAGGTCTATGACAGCCATAAATCCCTGACGCTTTAACCACGCCCCCACCACGTCCCGCCCCCGCGGTCCCTCACCTTGAGATAGTCGTTCTCTGAGCGCAGCTCCTCCATCTCCCTCATCAGCCCCTCGGTGGCCCCGTCCAGTATGTCCTCGGTCAGGTCGGAGAAGGCCATGGAGGTGCTGAGCTGCATGCGGCTGGACGTCTCCTCGCTGCTCCCCCGGCTGCTGCTGTTCTCCTCCGAGGCACACGAACCCTCCGAGCTGCTGTCCGTGCCCCCCACCCCCCGC